CCTTCTTTCTTCCAATCAAAGCATCAGCAATAACAAAATTCTTGTTCCTCTTGGCGGTAACAAATAATTCATAAGCAACCATGAAGACGAAGCACAAGACAAGTTTCTATATAAGATTTCATTTTTTTTTCTTTTCTTCTTTCGTTTCATACCTTTTCCCCTAATAAGTCTAGCATAGGTTCTCCTTATCCTTGTGTCTATATGCCATGTTCCATCAATGAGCATTTCTTTCCTTTACATTCGATCATGTCATGCGCAAAAATAAAAATAAAAATTGTCGAACTGAACACAAGGTACACCAATGACTTGAGGCACCTTTGGAACCCTGTCATTCCCTATAAACCATTTAATCACATATCCATTTCTTCGTCAACCACTTTGAGCCTCGTTTAACGATTGACTTATTTATTCAACCCACATTCACTTAACCCTGGGATGGGAAGGTGTGCAATTTGTCTAACAATCAGAAAGCAAGTTCAAATTAAAAAAAAAAGGAAAAGAATAAGTAAATAAAAAAAATGTCTAAAGGCAAGTGTTCCAATGTCTTTGATATGAACACGTATTAAATTGCGTCTCTCATCGAGTGCTCGGTACCGTGCCTGAGAAACATAAATGCTAAGTGAGTGATGGACCACATGATCTGAGATTGCATACATTGATTCAAAAGAATGAAAAAAAATTTTAAGCAAAAAAAAAATGTTGAAAATAAACTTGTAAAATTCAAAATTTTCAAATTCACAATTACACGTCTTGGGGGCTTCTCTCGAGTCTTGAGCCTTTTACCCTTTCTTCCTTAAACCATCATTTTAACCACATTACAACCCTTGAAAGACCTCTTTGAGGTGTACATACACTTGTGCAAAGTTCATTAGAGCTACGTTGGCCTGATTCCTAACGGATACGTAGGCAACCTCACATCGAGGTGCGGCCACATTCACATTCATATCCACATTCATATTCATATCCATGCATGATCGTGTCAAAGAATATCCAATGCTTACCCCTACCCATTTAGAGCTAGACTTGGGGCTTGAACCCACATCATTTAGCCTACCCAGCCTACTAAAGAGTCATCATTTTTTACTCTTCTCACATCTATTTCCATCACCATAACCCTTGCAGTCATCCTTAGTATCACATTCACACACTTCACTCACACATACATATCCATATCACCTTTCCTTCTAGGAACCTTCTATCATGAAATCTTACTTCAACGATGCGCATGTTTCGTCATCTTTCAAGACAACATCAAAAGAGACATTGTATACTTGCCTAGCTTCTAGACCTAAGCAATGTTCATTGTTTCATACATTGCATATTGTGCTTAGCTCCTTGACCTATGTGACATTCATTATGCGATACTCATCGATCACTTCATCTATATACGTGCTTAGCTTCCAAACCTAAGTAACGTTCAAGATCGTTTCTTTACACCATATATGATGCTTAGCTCCATGACCTAAGTTAATTCACCTATCGTGTCACATGACGTAATTTCCCTTAGCCTCCTAGCTTAAGAACATGCATCATGCATACATTATACTCAAGACTAGCATTTCAATATGACAAGAAGAAAATCCATGTGATTCATTTCGTCTTGCTCAACAAGGAAGTTCAAAACTTCTTCCCTTTTTTATCATGACTTTTCTTTTGGGGAAGTTTAAAAACAAAACTTCATTTTTCACGTCTTTCTTTTCGAGAGAAAGTCGATCGGTATCCTCCACTCATGACAAAAATGACGGAAAATTTTTGCTTTTGCATTTTTAATTGCTTGTGTCAGTGCACACACTCACTCAAGACACACACAATCACAAGTCATACACATGTCATGTCATGTCAAGTCAAACTTAGTCAAGTCAGTTGGTCAAGTCAATCATAGTATATACGAGTCCCTTGGAAAATTTTATTTTGCAGGTCTCATCTACAGCCCACGTCCGGGGACAAGCGGACCATTTACAGCCCACGTCTGGGGACAAGCGGACCAACTACAGCCCACGTCCGAGGACAAGCGGACCATCTACAGCCCACGTCCTGGGACAAGCGGACCATCTACAGCCCACGTCCGGGGATAAGCGGACCATCAACAGCCCACGTCCGGGGACAAGTGGACCAACTACAGCCCACGTTCGGGGGCAATCGAACCACCATCGTTTCATGACGCAAGGTTCTCGATACACAGAGACTTGCAATCTCATCATATGTCGACTTTCCTCAAGCATGGAAAGTATTATCCGGTGGATTTCTTCAAGCATAGAAAAACCGCCAAATTCCTTTGTCGGCTTTCCTCAAGCATGGAAAGCATTATCGGTGGATTTCTTCAAGCATAGAAAAACACCAAAATCTTATGTTTGACTTTCCTCAAGCATGGAAAGTGTCATCCTGTAGGTTTCTTCATGCTTAGAAAGCTAACAAACTCATCTGTCAGCTTTCCTCAAGCATGGAAAGCATTTCAACAAACGTCATCCGGTGGATTCCTTCAAGCATAGGAAAATACCAAACTCATTTGTCACTGATACACTGGTGTCAGATAAGTATTCTATCCCTTTACTCTTTTATCTGTGGAATTAACTTTTTTGCAGGTATCGGCGTATACAAAGTGATTTAGGATCGCAGAACGTCTTAAATCATTCTCCGTCTCAATCGACTACTTTGACTATCGTTTTCGAAACTGACGTTTCTACAAACTCAGTCAAAGTGGGGGCTTAATTACTTGTCTTAATTCACAGTAATTGAATTAGGAAATTTGTCAAACAGATCATATGATTCAAATAAACTTAGAGTTGAGCATATGTGATAAGTTGCTCCACTATCTATTATCCACTTTGAATTAAGACAAGTAATTAAGCAATTACCTGCCATGTTAGCCATTCCACTGAATTGTTTAGAGCTGTCTGTCTGAATTAAACTGACTAGCTTCTCATACTGTTCTTTGGTTAATTAATTAGTGCACTCTTCTTCTCCTTGAGTCTCACCATAATGTAGACACCTAAAAATGTCTCCCCAAAACCAAACCCGATGATGAACAACCTTTCACCGCCATTATTGTTCGGGTTGAGTATTTAATCTTGGAGTGCTTAAATCCATATTTCTATTTCATAAAACAACCCAATTCCTAGCCCATTTCCCCAAACCATAACTTATTTTTCTCTTTTCGTGCCTTTAAACCCAAAATAATTCATTTCGTGTCCTTTAAAATCAATCATTTCGTGTCCTTTTTATAAAAACGTGTATTACATTTTATTTTGGTCCATAATCTGGGTCCAATGATTAAATAGTTGGATGGGGTTTGAAAAGAGCTTTCCAACGATATATTATAAGCCCAAATCCGAGTTATAAAGAATAAGTTATGGCCAAAATATTAAACCGAGCCCAAACCGAACTTAAGCCCACCTTACCTACGACCCAATGATCATGTGGAGGGTCCAAATTATTTAATCCCATTCCTAAACCAATTAGGATTAATTGGAATCTTCTTTAAGTTTCTAAAAGATCTTAATTATCTTTTTTGAAAAGATAAGATTAAATAGTTTGAAATTGAATAAAACTCATTTTTTTTTAAAATCCTATTTATATCCGAATTGAAAGACGTTCAAAGATTGACAGATATTATTTTCGTGCATCATATTTTTTATCCAAATTTTATATGGTTGGATAGCTCTTGAAATTATCTTTCCAATTATTTATTATAATATCAGTTCCGAGCTATAACGGAAAAGATATGAATAAAATGTCAAACTCTATCCAAAACTGACACCGTCTCACTATTTCGGCCATATCTTTTATTCTGTAAAATATTTTAATCTGATTCCAGGTAGAAAGTATAATTCAAGAGCTTTTCAACAATATCTTATTCATCTCATTTCGATTTCTAGATCAAAAGATATGATAAAAACAAAAACCGCAAAAACTGCTGTCTATCGCAAGAGTTTTAATCCGATTCGAACTCGATCTTTTCTTGATTCTTCGACCCTCTTTTTTCCCTATAAATAGAGGTCATATCACCTCTTTTTAAATTATCAACAAGCTTGATCATAAAATAATTCTCTTCTCCCTCTTTAGCCTAAACACTAGCCTCCCCATTCTTTCTATCATTTCTTCCTTAAGCACTCCAAGGAGTTCATACAATACCCAAATTTCTATACTCAAACCAAGGCGTGAAAGGTATAATTGACTGAGGGTTTGGACCAAATCAACTCTAGTTTAATTTAATTTTCATTTGATTTATATTGTTATTGAAGTTACTTACAGTTTATTCATGATGCAGCAATTTAAAGGAACGCGCAGAATGTGAGTAATTAATTAATTTAATTACTCTTATTTTATTTTTATATTGCTGGTATCATGATTAGGGTTATTTTATATTTGATTTGACGCGCATTATTATTGTTAAATTGCTTCCAATATTAATGTTTATTCTACTATTGTTATGATCACCATTTTGCATGTATAAAGGGAATATGTAATTGAAAATCACGCCGAATAAGATAATTTGGACAACCGGTTTAGGTTCCTTTTTCTTCTTGTTGTTTAATCAAGTGATCACGATATTTTAGTATTATGTGTTGCATTAATATTCCACCAATTTAGCTTAATAATAGTTTGGACAAATTGAATATTTTGTTCGTATGCCTTTGAGATCGCAGGAATCACTTTTCACTATAAGAATCGAGTAGAGACCAATACGGGCGAATGTGACTCCATGACTCACTTCGTACCATCATCCCCGATCCTCCTTTCGTGGTTCCGAACCATATGGAGTTAGTAATCTCATGGATTATGAATGGGGTGTAACCTTCACGGGTCAATCGTTTTTGCCAATCGTTGTCCCTTTATCGTGGTTGCCTTTTATGATCCGTGAACGGTTTACAAGTTCCTTAAAAACTTGTCGGCGGCTCCCTACTTTATTTGTCCCTAATCGTATATGTCAATTCCCACTTCCTATGAGTGGCAAGCATATTCACAACATGCTTTTAACGTAGGCGCACTTCTAACGACGCCTACACATAAGCAACAGCTACAACTCTCTTTCCTTTGTTCTTATTGTAACCTCCCTTATCAGGATATCCATGCAACTTCCAGCACTTATCAACAGTGTGATTGTTCAGTTTGCAATGATCACAGAATAAAGGTGCTCGAACAGATAGTGGATAAGCTCTACTTGAACCACCTCTCCTTTCCTCTGCTGCTGCAAAGGCCATACTGCTAGATTGCCTGGTAACACCTTCAGTGATCTTCTTCTGCCTCTCATCTTGAATAAGAAGATTATATGCGACGGACATGGAATGTAATGGATTCATCATCAATATGTTTGTTCGAACTCCAGCATGTTTAGGCTCAAGTTTCATAAGAAACTGAATCAACCTTTCATCCTGTTGAGCTTTTAAAAACTTCTAAGTCAAATTACAGGTACACCTTGTACAACTACAAGTTGGAATTGGATTTGCAGCACTGACCTGATCCCAAATTCCTTTGATTCTTGTGAAGAATTCAGTAATCGTAGAAGATCCTTGATCTATTTGATTAAGTAACTGCTGTAACGAATAAATCTGTGGACCAAAAATTACAGAATACCTATCCTCAAGATCCTTCCAAATTTCATATGCAGTTGAGAAGAATATAAAACTCTTAGCAAGAGTATTATCCAAAGATCTCAAGATGTATGAAATGATCATGTTATTGCATCTACTCCAAGCACTAAACAATGGATCTGTATCTGCTGGTTTCTGCAAGCTTCCATCAATGAAAGCCATCTTGTTCTTCATAGAAAGAGCAAGAATCATACCTCTCTTCCAGTCCTGATAATTTTCTCCATTGAACTTCTTAGAAACAAGTGAAACAGCTGGATTTTCACTCGGATGAATGTAGTACATTGATCTAGGATCTTGAGTTGGATTCTGATTACCTGTGTTAGTTTCTGTCGCTGCCATTATTATCAAAAGATTCTTCTTGAAAAACCTTGATTACAGAAAAATTTGATCGAAAAATTACTTCTGATTTCAATTAGAAAATCAGCAAAATAAAAAAAACTGATGAACAGATACTGTAATAAGTATCTGAATGTGTATAAATTCTGAAGAATTTGCGGAAAAATTAGCAGATCGACTGCTCTAATACCATAATAAGATTCTGAAATCCAGAATTATGAACAAAACCTTGAGAGAAAAATATTGTTTTCATTTGATTTCAGAAAATGATTACAATGAGTACAAAATATCTTCCTTGTTCTGCTATTTATACAAGGCTTTTATTACAAGAAAAATATCTAAAGAAAATATCTTCTAACAACCTTATAACATCTTTCTAAAAAACTCTGTAAACAGAAAATAGAAGCTTCTAGAATAATCTAAACGTTTCCAGCTCAGCTACTCACTCTTGTGCAGCCTTGTCAGCATGATTAGTATGATCATCAATAAATTGATAGTTGAATTTTAGGATGGTAAATTTTTGAGTGAGACGGACTCACATATGTTCACCACCTTCATTATCCTTCTTCCCCATTCTCTCTCCTCCCGCCCATCAATGACGGCCAGATCCTCCATCACTCTCCGCCTCCTCTCATGCACCTCCCAACTTGTCGGCGATCAGTGCTTCAAATTCGGAGTTTTGAGATGATCTAGAGAATAACCAGATCCGTGCTGCTACTCTGTTGAGTTTGGGGAGGTCAAATTCTATAGATAATGGTCGAGATAAGGAGTATTTTGGTGAGGCGGCTTTATCGCGCAGTTCTAGGTGAATTTGATTAATTTGATTTTGTGAATTTGATTGTGGAATTATTAATTGATGATGAATTTTAGGAGTTTGTTAAAGATGATGTGAAATTTGAGGGTTGAGAAGAGAGAAAATATTGTAGTCATGGAAGAAGAAGAGGATCAGTGGTGAAGGAGAAAATAATGTCATGTATTAGATGTTTATTGTTTCACAAAGTCTTATATGTGGCTGGCCACACCATATGGCCAGTCACTACAGGGGTTACTTCGCTAGTGTAATGGGGGTTACTTGGTCAGTTTTAAAGGCGTTACTTCGTCATTGTTATAGAGTTACTCGGTCAGTGTTATGGGGGTTGCTCGGTCGGTATTATTGGGTTACTTAATCAATATTATAAGGGTTACTTTAAGTGGCCACACAGTATGACCGGCCGCACACAAGACGAACTGTTATTGTTTGGTATTTCATTGTTATTGTTTGGTATTAAATGTTTATTGTCAAGTATTAGATTAATATTAATTGGTTTAATCAGGAATTAGAAAATTTTAGTCAGGAATAAGATAACTTTAGTCAGGTATAAGATAATTTTTATCAGGAATAAGACTATTTTTACTCAAGAATAAGATAATTTTTATCAGAATAGGGCAATATTATCAATTTAATAAAATGTCGGTTCGCGGACTTTGATCAGGTTTCTCAGACCCACGCCTTTTTGCTGTTGTGCCCGGTCTCACGTGAATCCGCCGTTCTACGCAAAACCTTCTCTTCAAGGATTGGTTTATACATTTTATAATGTCTCTTCACATAAGAACCTGTAGACATGAAATGTGGAAGTGGCATGACCGCATGAACCCCCTCATACCCTGCCCAATATATTTTACTATGAGGAGATTTAAATCTGTGACCTTTATGTCACATTGACTCTGATACAATGTCGAAAAACTCAACTAAAAAGTTAAATTGATGATTGAAGCAATGAAGCCTATGATTGGTATTATTGTTCTTTGATTTGGAACTCAACAAAAAACAAAGAAAAATAGAGAGAAAATCGAGTGAAAAATTGAGATATTTTTATTAGAGTAAAAAATCTGCCTACATATTACAATCTAGGAGCTATTTATATAAAAGTCCTATATAATGGAAGTTCTAATAAACTCTATGCATCACCAAAAGCGTGGGAATGAAAGTAATAACATAATTTGCCAGCTCATCAAGTTGCATTGTAACAGAATTACCAGGTCACTAATCCAAAGTTTCAGCATACATAGCTGCCAGGTCACTGATCCAAATCTTGAGGAAAAGCAGTTGTGTCATCTCCAGCTTGATCAAATGCTTGATGTTTCAATATGTAATCTTGATAGGTTGCAGGATCATCATAATCAAGATGATCATGATTCTTAATACCCCCTCAAGCTAGGAGGTGGTTGAGAAAAAGACATCTCTAACTTGGACAACAACTCATGAAGATGAGGCAAAGGCAGCAGGGACTTAGTGAAAATATTTTCTAATTGATCCTTTGTAGGAATGTAGGAAAGTTCAATCAACCATTCCAACACTTTATCCCTTGTAAAGTGACAATCAATCTCAATATGCTTTGTCCTTTTATGATGAATGAAATTTTTACCTATGTGAATTGCATACTGATTGTCAACATTCAGCTTGATAGATTTGAGGTCTGTCACCCCTATATCACCCAATAATCTACCAACCAAGTGATTTCATAAGCAGCTGCAACCATAGCCCTGTATTCTGCTTTTGTAGAGGACTTAGAAAGTGTAGACTGCTTCTTAGATTTCCAAGAGACAGAACTCTTTCCCAACAACATAAGTTAACCTGTGACAGATCTTCTAGTGTTAAAACAAGCTGCTCAATCTGTGTCTGAGTAAGCGTACAGAGTCAGATGTGTTGAGGATTGTAACAAAATCCCTTGACCAACAGTACGAGCAATATATCTCAGCACATGTATCAAAGCTTGAGCATGTTGAAGCCTTGTAGATTGCAGAAATAGACTGAGTGTTTGTACAGCAAATGAAATATCAAGTTAAGTATGAGTTAGGAAATATAACTTCCCAACTAGAAACCTTTATTTTCTAGGATCTTCATAGAACTCCCCTTCTTTTGCAAACAACTTCAAATTAACAGGTAAAAGAGTTTTAGCAGTCCTTGAAACATCAACTTCACATCCTTCCAAGAGTTCCTTGGTGAATTTTCTTTGACAGCGAAGGATTCCATTTGAAACCCGAGATATCTCAATTCCAAGAAAGATATTAAGCTCTCTAAAGTCTGTAATGTTGAAGACAGTATGCACAAATATTTTTTCTTTTCATAATTATATCATCTACATAAACTGCTGCAATACAAAGATCATATTCTGACTTGAAGATGAACAAAGAGTAGTCATTCTTATATTGTACGAATCCTTTCTTATGCAATTCTGAATTGAGTCTTGTAAATCGTACCACTGTCTGCTAGCTTGTGTTAGCCCATACAGTGATTTTAGCAACTTGCAGACCTTGTTATCTGGATTAGGGAGACCTTGAGGCATTCTTATATAAATATCTTCATCAAGAGTGCCATATAAGAAGGCATTGTTGATGTCCAGTTGAAGCAGAGGCCAGTTCTTGCTTGCTGCAACAACTAATATACACCTTATAGTGGCCATTTTAACCACAGGTGCAAATGTCTCATCATAGTCTATTCCAATTTGCAACCAGTCTTGCCTTGAACCTCTCAAGTGCTCCATCCTTTTTTAACTTTATCTTTAACACCCATTTACATCCAATTACTTTCTTCCCCTTAGGTAAATTTGTCACCTCCCAAGTTCTAGTTGCTGCCAAAGCCTCTAATTCTTTGTTCTTAGCAGCCGCCTATTCTGGATGTTGTGAAGTTTCAAAATATGTTGTTGGCTTAGTAAGAGAACAAAAACTAGTGATCAAAGCTTTGCAGGGTGTTGACAGTTCCTCAAAGCTAACTATGTTACACCAATGTAGTGAACCAGTTACAATACATAAGTAATCATCCATCCAGCATGGTCTCTTGGTAGGTCTAGAAGACTGCCTTTCTGGAATAAGAGGTTGTGTTTGGCTACACTAGTAGAAAAAATGCTATTTATAACTAACAAAAACGGGCTATTTGTAACCAACATTAGGGGTTACAACTAATGTAGACACCCATTTGTGTCTCCCCAAAACCAAACCCGGTGATGAGTACCTTTCGCGTCGAATCATAATCGAATGAAGTGAAAGTGTGGAAAGTCTAGTGTTGCGGATAATTTTAATTTCTTTTCTCTTCTCTCTGTTTTTGAAAACTTATTTTAAGAAAACAGCCAATCCAGTTTGGTTGGCCCATGATATGGATCCAATAATAGTGTAGTTGGATGGGGTTTGAAAAGAGCTTTCCAACGATATATTATAAGCCTAATTCCGATAAATATTGAGGAAGTTATGGCCAATTTACTAAACTGAGCCCGTTTTGAGCCTTATATGCGGCCCAATGATCTAGGGGAGGGCCAAATATAGATTTATCATTCCTAATGCAATTAGGAATGGTTTTAGTCTTCTAGATTCTTCTAGAAGGTTCTTTTCATTCCTAATTCAATTAGCATTGATAAATTGACTTTTGTTGACTTTTCAGAGTTTTAATTAAAATCAAAGAACGTTTTTTGAGGAAGATACGATTTTATCCTTCTGTACGACAATTTCTATCTGATTTTAAGAAAACGCGTGAATTTCTGAATCAGCACCAAACGCCAGCTGTAGCGCCTGGCGCTAGCATTGGCGCCTAGCATAATGTTGGCGTCTGGCGCCAATAGACAGCGTTGGCGCCAACATCGTTTTATGTGCGCCAGAACTCTTTTTTGATATTTTATATTTTTGGCTGATTTTCTCTATAAATAACGTGCTAAAAACTTCGTTTTCGATAACCAATTTTCATTCATCTACAATCTACCAACTCTCATCAAGATTTCCTTGATCTCTTTCTCTCTCTTTTCTAAACTAGTTTTTTCTCACAAATATAAAAATTCCGCATTCATTAGATTTAGATACACCTAGCCATATTCAAAGTTGCCTTCGCCCTAGACGTGAAAGGTTTAATTTCTGAGGGTTTGGTCCCAAATCTCTTTTTCAATTATTATTTAATTTAATTGTTTTGTTTATTATTTTCCTTGAAGCTACTAACGTGTGTATTTTGTTATTAGAAAGAGGTACGAGGCATCCAAGTA